ATGTCTGTTAATGTTTCCCTCCTTTTATCTTTAAAATAAAAAAAAAATCAACTATATTATGTATCTCAGTACATTAGTAGATGTAAGTGTAATAGTTCCTGCACGGAAATGTGCTATATCAAAACACACTGCACTAGTAAAGTTCTAAAAACTGCAAAATGATTAAGGTGGGAGTGGAATCCTGCTTAGGCAGAAAGTTCAACAATCTCTCTCTCAAGCTAGATCCTCTGGGCTTGTCCTCCTTGGGATGGCATGGACTTAAGATGTGGGACAACTAAGCTTTAAAAGGTGAATTTGGCCTAAAAGCTGTTTTCTAGAAAAATGAAACTTTCTGGGAAAGAGTAGGTAATATGATCTGTCAGGGTTTTGTGAAGTTTAATGAGTGCTGTAAGTGTAGAACAAACTGTGGGCATGTGTTATATGCCTGGGAGGATTCCATGATCCAGATGACATTGCTGGGGAAAATGGTAGTGAATATTTCCCAGTCAATGGGAGAATTGCTTTTGTTTCCCCTGATACATAAACTGAACTCAGGGCAGACAGAACCGACGTATTTTGAATGAGGTTCTGCACTGCTTCAAAATGGGTTTGTGTTTACACTTCATTGTGAGATTTTTAATGGTTTGAAATGACTCAGAGGAAATTATGTAATATTTATGGAGACACGTGCTGGAAAATAAACCAGGAACCATGATTTTAGTGTTAGAGGTAGCTCCTGAATAAACCTTCTTGTTTATTTGTAAAGTGTGTTTTAAATGACAATGAAGTAATTAGTGGTTTTATAGTTCTGGGGATGGCTGAGTGGCTTGTGTTGCACTAACACTCTTGCCAATGACATGTATAGATTCTGATTCAAAGAAAGAAAGACCAAGTGAATGAAAAGAAGGAGGAAAATAAAAGAGAAAAAAAGAAAAAGAGGCAGAGAGAAAAAGAAAAAGAAGTCTCTTGAAAGGCACTGGGAAGAACCCAAAAGCTTTCAGAAACTATAGGAAAGGTGACTTTTGGAAGGTGGGATGCAAATTAGGTGAGTCTCACAGTCTCACAGTTAATCAGCTTTCTCTTAAGGTAACATCCCAGTTTACACAGGAATAAGGCGTGGAGCTCAGACAGAAAGTATCAGTCTTACTGCGCAGAGAAGTCAAAGATTGGATCCTAGGCTGCTAAGATTAATTCAGTTGAGGATTAAATTGGAGGAGGGATATCTCAGGAAGGACATATTCATGAAGATTATCTAAATACAGCTTCCTCTCAAATTCTTGGCTGCCTCTAAACTATGAGCATTCTAGATGAGACTCCAAGGAAAAACCAGCAGAATGCGCAGCTGGAAGCTCAGAAGCTGAGCACAGATGTCATCAGGTGAAGTGCTGAGGAGGCAAAAGTTCAGAGTTCAAGTTCGATCCCGTTAGAGTGAATTAGTAAATACCTCAGGCTTGCCATTAACACCTCTGAAGAGTCACGCCTTAAAAGTAAGAGCTATAATTGAGAACTAAGTGCTATATCCTTATGACTAAAGGCAGAACCAGAATAAACCTTTCACAGTTAAGCCTTAAAACCATGGATCTATGAACATGATATAATCAGTAGTAATTTAGCATTTGCCAAGACATAACTCAACACTGAGAAAAATGACAAAATCCAGACTATCTATGGCATATTTTTTACATTAAACACATTGTCTAACTTAAAATAAGAAGTTATTAGACAAAAAACAAGCAAAGTGGCTTATATTTCAGGAAAAAATGTAGTCTATAGGAGATCCAAGATGACATAAATGTTAGCATTGACAGATAAGCACTTTAAAACCTTTCTGATAAAATGCTAAGACATTTACAGGAACGGATGTATTTAATGAATTAAAGCAGACATGGAAACTCAGAAAAGAACCAGATAAAATTACCAGTACTGAAAAACAACATATTAGAGAACAAAACATTGCAAGTGGTTTAGTGGCAAAGCAGAAACTGCACTAGAAAAGAGTAGTGAACTTAAAGTCAGATAGATATTATTCAAATCAAAACATACAGAGAAAAAATTGAAAGTAAAGAAGAAAGTTGTCATAACCCTCAAGATGATTTCAAACATTTGTGTGATTAGAATCTCACAAGGGAGGCAGAAATATATCTTAACATTCCCCAAACTTGATGAAAACAAAATTCCACTGATCCAAGAAATTAAGTGAATACAAAGCAGAACAAATAGAAGAAACACAACTATGCAGATCATGATAAAATGCCTGAAAATCCCAAATATAGGAGAAGATCTTAAAAGAAAAATAAAAATTATAGAGGTAAAATGATAAGCATAATGGTTGACTTCTCATCAGAAATTACAGAAGCCAGAAAACAATGATACATTATGTTTAAAATGCTAGGGAGACAAGAAACAAAACTAAAAAAAAAAAAAAAAAAGAAATTACTATTACTACAAATCTGTAACCAGTAAAAGTACCCTTTAAAAATTAAAATTGCAAGATAGGTACAGTATCTATAATCTCAGTTATTTGGGAGGTTGAGCCAGGAGTATTACAAATTCCAGGACAACCTGGACAACTTAGAGAGACACCGTCACAAAATAAAAAGGGCTATGGAGTTGGATATCACTATGGTAGGGTGCGTCTGGATTCAATCCCTGTTACAATAAAAACAAAAATTAATATTGGGGCTGGGTGTGTAGTACAGGGATAGATTGTTTGCCTAATATGCATGAGGCCCTGGATTTGATCCCCAGTACCAAACAGAAAATTTTTTATATCAACAAACAATTTCAGATCAGAGGACATAGAGAAAATGTAAATCTTGTTCTGCAGATAGAAGAGAATAATATCAGGTGGAAATGAGGATCTATAGGAATAAATAAAAACACTAAAAATAGAAAATATGTAAAAAATATAGATGACTTTTCTTTCATTGATACCCTTAAAAGATAATTTTCAGACAGCAATAATGGTATAAATAGTACAAAGAATTATAGGAATGGTAATGAAATTGCTGTTTTAATGTTCTTATATATAAAGCAGCTCACTGTTATCTAGAATAAACATCCCTAAAAAGCTAGTAAACAAAGTTAAATGATGCTAAAATGTATTTGATTAATTCAAAAAAGACAAGAAAGGAGAAATTCAGAAATAAAGAATAAGTGAGATAAATAGAAAACAAATACCAAGATGGTGGAACTGTCACAATCACATAAGAAAAATGAAATGTCCATTCAGTCCTGTATGTATATGTCTAATAATATAGCTTCCATATACCACTGTCAGCCAAAACCGACAACTAAATAAACAAATCTACAATCATCATAGAAAGTTTTAACAACTTTTTCCTCAGTAATTGACAACACAAGTAGAAAAAGCATTTAGCAATGATATGCAAGATTTGCATAACACTATAACCATCTGTGCCTATTTGATACTTAAAGAACACACTAATAATAATAGAATACACATATTTCTCTAGTAAACATTAACTGTTCCTCACAAATGTATTTTGGAATATTAAATAAAACTACTTTCTTTAACCACAATGGAATTTAATTAAAATCAGTAACAATAAGATACTCAGGAATTCTCCATATAGTTGGGAATACATGTAAAATAACCCACGTATAAGAGAAGAAATCACAAGGGACATTTGAAAATATTTTAAAATGAAAGGTAATGAAAATACAATAAATCACAATTTGTGACATGAAGTTAAAGCAATAGTTTAAAAAAATCATGGCTTTCAATGCATACATTAAAAAATAATTAAAATTTTTATCAAGCCAGGGTAAGTGAAATTGAATTAAACCCAAATTTAAGAAAGGGGATATTAAAGTTGAAATTAGCAATTAATGAATTATAAAATAGCTCCTCCTACAAACCTTCAGGCTGAAGGTGTTTCTTTGAAAAAATTGATAAATTTAGTAAAATCTACCAAGAATAATCTAGATACAATGATACATTATCTTTAAAAATATATGAACTAGCAATATGAAGGATAAAAGTAGGTCACATCACTAATAATACTATAGAAATCTAAAAATATTAAAAGAATCTTAAGAACAACTTTGTCAATGAACTTGGTAATAAGATGAAATGGCAAAGTTCTAGAAAAATATAATCAACACAAGAAGGTACAGAAAATTTGAATAGCTTTCTACTAGTAAAAAATTGACTTTATAATTGGAAACATTCTCCTCAAGGTAACTTCAGACACAGATGGTTTCACTGGGGAATTCTACTAGACAGTTAAAGAAGAAAACATAGCAATTCTGCATCAAAAATAGAAAAGGAGTGTTAACGTTTGTATGTAGATTTCCCCAATAGATTTGTGTGCTTATGGGCAGGGCTTGGGAAGGGGACTGCATTATGGGGTTGGTACAGCTGACTTTCTGTTACAAGGTAGAGTCTGGTTGAAAGAAGCAGGTCACTGGGAGCATAATGTGGTATGGTGTGTCTCTCTTCCTTCCTTCCTCTCTTGTCTCTCTGCTCCCTGGATGCCACGACATGAGCAGCTTTCATCTATGTGCCTCTGCCACACCAGTTCTGCCCTGGAGCCAGCTCACCATGCACTGTCAACATGAGCCAAATAGGCCTGTGTGAGGTACTGTGTGCTGGTGATGAGGAAGTAACTAAGACAAAAGGTGAGGACTTCCTAACTTATCGGCCCAGTATAATTCTTTTACAAAACCTTTAAAAAGCACAATAGAGGAAATAAAATT